TTTTTAATAGTTTTCTGACCAAATCGTATACGTTCTTTCAGAATCTGTGATCAAAAACGAATTTTGAAATTGAGGAGGTGGAAAGTATGTCAGAAAAACGCGGTTTTCTCACGGACTGTCTCTTAAAACATCAAGTTTGGACGAACAAAACAATAAACTCGAGAAAACTAAAGAGTAAAGCATGCAAGTTTCTGCGATATGAAATGTTCGAAATAATTTTTTCTGCTTAGTATTCGTGTATGCCATTAATATATCACTTTAGGTGAGTTACAAATTTTATCAACTTTGTGTGAGAATATTTTCACAACTTTGCCCGTTTGGACAACGTCGACAAGCTTTTTAGTACTTTCTTAGTGTTGGTCTTGTTTGCATGGTTAATCCAAACGCAGATATCAGACAAAACAGTAGCAGTAAAACAAAATCATCTTCATTGAATCAAACACAATGTCAAAGACTTTATCTTGCTAAGAACTTTAATTCAGTAGGATTTTCAAGGTTCTATGTAGATAAGACACTCTAATTTATTTCATCTATTCAAAGCCAAACCAAGTTATACTGTGGCCAAAACAAACTCGTGGTTTAATTCTTGGTTCATTCTACATTGGTTATATCCTTACGCAAATCCCTAGCGCAATTATTGGAACTTTTGTCGGTCCAAGAATATTTTTTTCGTTCATTGTTTTCCTGTCGTCTTTGTGTACTATATTGGTATCGGTTATTGCCCAGTTACATCCATCAGTTATGATTCTAATGCGAATTATTATGGGTGCTGCACAAGTAAGTATTCTTGTGTTGCGTCAATAAGTACAACAAACGTTCTTTTAGGGCTGTATATGGCCAACACTTTTTCGTCTCAACTCGTTCTGGGTACCAGCTCAAGAACGAACAGTTTTATTTTCATTTCCAAGGACTGGTAATTATTTGATGAGACTAGAGTCTCTTAGTAGTGCAGATTTTTATCACTGTAGGACCGTCGATTGGTACAATTATTTCGATGATTATCGGAGGATTATTTTGTTCAATTAATTTAAATAATTATGTTCCCTTTCTATTTCGATATGGATGGTCATATTTCTATTATGCGCTAGGTAATTCGTCGCTCTTGCTTTTATTATTCAAATCTAAGTTCTAATTATACCAAAAGGTGTACCTGGTATCATATGGTCAATTGCCTGGTACATATTATCTAGTGATGCACCAGAAACAAATAAGTTTATGTCGAAAAAAGAAAAAGATTATATTCAAATGTGTAAAAATGATGAATGTTTACAAGATAAAAAAACAGTAAATAAGTGTGCCATCTTTTGTTTATTTCAAATGTTATCTCTTCGTTACGATTGGCACATCAGACAAGCTTGTCCAGCATTAGATGATATTATAAAAGAGGAAAAATTCTTAAGCTGTTGAGAAATCTCATTGGAGGACTACTGTGATCATATTAAGTTGCATACTTTCTTTTTTTATCAAGAAAACTCCATGGTTATCAATATTTCGCTCAAAAGCATTTTGGGCAACAATGATCGGACAATTTTTTACCGATTGTGGTGGTTATGCATTATGGAACGTTGTACCAGAATACATGAATGAAGTCTTATTTTTCCCTATTAAACAAGTACGTGATAGAAAATGGAATTATTTGTATATCCCTTAGTCATTCAGTAGAGAAACGTAAAGAGAATTTGGTTAAAACAAACATAGACAGTAGCGACTCATCAACCGAATTTTGCATAGGAAATTATCATTATAGTCTGAGTACTTTTTAGCTAATTCTTTTCATACCTAATTGAGTCCGGTATGTTTTAGAATGGGATCTATTCTGCTTTACCACACTTGGTGAAAGCCGCTGTCGTGTTTGCCACTAGCCGACTGGCTGATCAAATTATAAATAAGAATTGGTTGAAACGTGCCAATACAAGAAAAATGTTTCAGTTAATAGGTAAGATGAAATGGGTGCTTTCATGACCATTGTCTCTGGCGTCCGGTAACTATAAAAGAGAGAGAACTTGGCAAACACAATATCAGAAATGTAAGTTCATCGTTTATATATCAGGTCAAGCTTTCACTGAAGCAACTTCTTGTAGTTTTTGCCACTGGGTGAGATGGAGGCATGTTTAGATTGGAAATTGTGCTTTTGTGTGCAATTGCTCAAATGTTAGAACAATATTTGCTCAGTGTAACTATTTAAATCTTAGTACTTTGTATTCTTAACTTTTATCAATTTTTTATATATGTAACAAATTATCAAAGAATTTTGTATACACTTGCATCTCGATTTTAAACACCGAAACAGAGGTTGTTTTAAGTGAAAAGAAGTAAGAACCAATTCTAGTTGGCTTGAGTTTTCTATAACGAGATAAACTGTTGTAAAACAACTTTTTTTATTTCTGATCAAACGAAAAGCGTTAAACAGAAGCACTCGTAAGAACAAACCATGTGCTTCTGTTTTTCAATAAAATCGAAAACAAATGAAAATTATTTCCTTTCAAAGTAAATATACATACATTTTTTATTCAAGGAACATTATCTGTAGCAGTGTGTTTACTTATGATATCAACACTCGATTGTCAACGGCGTTATTTGGCTGTTATACTATTGATTGTTGGGGTTGGAATTAGGTACGAGAAACGATCTTTGTCTAAACAAAGAATTAGCGTCTTTTCTTTTGTGTTCAATATTAGCGGTTGTGGTCATGCCAGTGGTCATGGTGTAAATATTGCCGATTATTCTGGCATTCATTCAGCAATTGTATTTGGACTGGTTAATACTGTATGTAAGTTGACTTTTTCCGATGCATAGCGGCCCTTCACTGACACCCAGTTTTTTTCGAAAAAAAACATTTGTTGTGAAACACGTACTTATCTTTATCTGAACGGACATTTTCATTAATAATAATCGATCCGATTTTTCTTTGATTTGTGCCCGGATTCTAGAGATGGATTCTACTGAACCTTAAAAATGCTAGAAATTTCGTGAAGTGCTCTTATTTTAATCAATCAAAGTCATTCGATTTTATGTAAAACTGCTAATAAATGGATTTCTCTTCGTCATGAAATTACAGGAAATTCTCACAAAACCAGCAACGTAGAAAAGAATAATTGAGGCGAGATTGAACGGCACTAGTCGACTGGAATACCTTAATACCAAAAGGTATTCCATAATACCCACTTACCCTTAAAAAAATTCACTACTTCTGGAGGTTAGAAAATTTACTACTACCCTGTCTACCGCAAAAAAACGCTTTCGAATCTTCCACTACATGACAGAGTTGGAACTGGATCGGTCCGATACGATTAAACTTTTCAATCGGCCGTTTTTTACCGTGTTTTTACCGATTTATCTTTATAAAACTTTCTTAGGGTTTTCCTTTTTTTCAAATCACTATTTCAGTAAAAAGAATTTCAAAAAAAAATTTGCTTTTTTTCGTGTAAATTTCAATAGCAGAAACAAAATTGACTTTTAGTTTTCCCTAATAACACCTATAGTTTTAAGAAGGGTTTGAAGGAAAATTCAGCTATGCCTTCCACGAGTAATTAGGCATATACATGTATTTATGAACACATAGTAATTAGTTACGACTGACTTATTCATTTTTCTTTATTTTTTCTGCTTTGTCCACAAAATAGTATAAAGAAATATATCGATCAGAACTGTTAGTGTTGTGAAAATGTGTATATGAGTATCTTATTCTCATTGTCATATTTCAACGTCAAAGGCATCTCCATCAGACAAAATAGAGCAAAATGAACAAAAATATAATTAGTTGGACTTTTTCATTAGCTTTTCGATGTCGACTTGGAGGCTTTGACACATTTCGAAGCTTGGTGTCGACAAGTGCCTATATTTCCATCTCTTGAAACATGGCTACAAGGACACACTGTGTGTTTTAGCAGCATAGACCACTGAAAAACAAATACCATTAGAAAATAATCAAACTTTTTTAGACCGGTTTTTACCGATTTAGAAAACTTTTTCATCGACCGATCCGATCCGATTGCGTTTTTTTCAAACGGTTCCAACTCTGCTATATGATACAAGGGGTAGAACACGGCGTTCCAGCCCAATACACCGCGCTTCAGAAATTATAGCTCTTGATTTAGCCCGATGTCACAAGCATGAAATTAGCAGCCAAAATGATATACCTGCATTTGAAGATGTAATGTTTTTGGTAATTCACACTTATGCAAACATTGCGCGCTGAGCCGATTCGTACGCATAGAAAGTCAATCCTGATATTATGGTAGGATGTCTATCTACTCCTTATTACATCTGATACATCACATTACATCATTATCTATTGAGATACGAACGCGGGATTTAACACAGATCTGCTTTATTAAGCTCATGGTGCCTTATTAACTGCTCTATTTTGTTTTGTAGCAAGCATTGCTGGATTTGGTATTCCATATTTGACAAGTTATATAACTCGAGATGTAAGAGAGAAGGTACATAAGTTTAATGTTACTCATTTTTTTCTGTTTTTTAGAAAACCTACGCCCAATGGCGTATAGCCTTTATACTTTATGCTTGTTGCTATTTAATATCGGGATTGAGTTTTGCTCTGTTGGCTAAGGGCGAAACACAACCCTGGGCAAAGAACACAGATGACAACAAAAAATGATTGTCAAAATGTCATTTATATGAAATTAAGCAAATATTAACTTGGATTAAACACTTATTTTCCTACATTTATTTCAAGTGAAGTTTGGGTCTCGAAAAGACCTCCTTCAGACGATTGAATTTTGCTTCAAAGAAGAATAGAAATTTCAGACTGATAATAAGGGATATCATGTTATATTTGAAATTATTTTATCAATTTCTGAATACATGAAATGAAAATACTGTTAAGAGAACAGACAACACCTTGCTGCCTTTAGACTAGCTTGGGTATTACGTTCACTTTTGTTTACTTATTTCGCATACTCTTCGACTCAGATATGTCTTATCGTTGTTCACTATACCATGGATCAGTATTTGTCTGTATTCAAAGTGTTTACGATTTAATGGTCGACATTTTGCAGCGTAGCTGAATGAGTTCCGGATAGTGATGTGATGGAATTCGTTATTTTTTCATAAAATGGCCATTCCAAAACATCAGAGTTCAAGTCATTCTCTCCTATTCTTTAATGGATATCCATTTGCATTTCTAATTTTGAAAAGTGATTTATATTCAATCTCTTTCTAATCTTCGCTTTACTTAGGTTCATTCAGATACTATTCAGTCTGTTTTGACGATTTATAGAAAAGAATACATTGAATGTTTATTCACACTTTGCGAAATATTTCGAAACTGTGATTTAGTTAGTAGTCCTTGTATAACGGTTAATATATATAAATATATAACCGCAGTTACTTCTAACACGGACACTCATTTGCTAAACTCATCAAGGCTCCTTTCCTATTATCCAATCCAGATACGACATTATCTATATCATAAATTACTACTCGTTCTCTCTACGAACACCGAAACGTATTAACGTAACAAACATCGTCAGTCTGGAGATATTTTTTTTTGATCTGAGTCAAACAGTTAGTACAACAGGTACAATGCCATATAATATTACGGCCTGTCCACGTAACGCGTGATTTCGTCAAGATTTTTGTTGTTTTGCGAGTCTCTTGACGTTCGAACAAAAGGATACTAAGGAATTGTTTATATCTAGTCTTAAAGAGAAAAGTGAGCTGAACAAAATGTGATATTTTCTGTTTTCGCAGAATATCGTGGTCCTCAAGTACAACAAAATTTTTACGAGCCCCAATCTAAAGTCTGCCAAAACAGGCTCGTAAAACTTTTGTTATATTTGAGAACCACGACACTCTGCGGAAACAGAAAATATCACATTTTGTTCAGCTCACTTTTTTCTAAAAGACTAGATGTAAACGGTCCTTGAGTTTCCTTTTGTTCGAGCGCCAAGACGCTCGCAAAACAACTGAAAGTGTGACGGAATCACGAAAAGGCGACCGTTTTGTGGACAGGCCGATTAACGGTATAGTTGTGAAATGTCTAATATGTTTGAACTTGATCAATAATACATTAATACTGGAAACCGCACAGTGGGTAGTTTTCATAGAGCAGGCGGACATCTGGTTTTATGAGTTAAAAAATAATTATATTCGTATGTATGTTTTACGATGGAAAATCCCTGAGGGGGACCCTTGTCCCGAATTTTTGTCAAACAATTTTTTATTTGTAAGACTAATAATTGATACCAACACTCGTTGTAGTTTTCCACGCTGATTCCAGATATCACGTTATTTTTTAATACAAGTGATTCTGGACCGAATATATAGCAAAATACCTCGAAAACGCAGGGTGTTTTGGAAATCCATAACTTGAGTTTCTCAAATATGGGCACTTTTTTAAATTCAGAATAGATAGAGGACGTGTAGACGAACATTTCTATGTGATTTTAAGTTCGTTAGAAGAGTAGCGGAGTGTAGCGATCTCATTGCAATCCAGATACTTTTCGGAAATATAGTTAGTTCGCAAAACTATTTATTATTTCTTTAGCGAAGAATCCAAAATGAAATTTTTTTTACTCAAATATAGCTGAAAGTGTCTAGATTCGAAATGCGTAGTTATCATTTTTATAAGTTGTCTTCTTGACGCAGATAAATGACTTTTTTAATAATAGTAGTAGATAATAAAGGGGTAGTTTTGACTCCTACTTTTTTCCTACTGATAAATGATTTAGAACAAAAAGTTTTATGCCATCAGATAGCCCATTGATCGAAGCATATTGCGCACTATTTTAAACTTGAAAAAGAGTACTTTCGTTTTTTCGCAAATGTCCGCCTGGATGCCCACTGTGCACGGTAAAAAACCGTTTCGCCAAAAGACAATTCGCCATGGCGAAATGTCATGTGCCGTTTCGCCAACTCGAAATGTCATGTGTCGTTGAAAATAGTGATAGTAGTTGGAAGTATTTGTGAAAATGAAGAAGGAGGAAGGAGGTAGAGACTATGTGAAGATGTATTTTGAAAGTGTAAATATGTTTTTTCTTTTTTCTTCATTTTCAAGAACAGGTGTTTTTTTACTAAGTTGAATTAGATAAAACACAACGCTATTTGAAAAATTACATTTATTTTATTCCCCTATGTCTTTTGTTGTGACATCGTTCTCATGTTTATTTGTGTTGGAATTAGTACGCATTTCTAGCATTTCTATTTTCAAGACTCTGTGTTCGTAGTTATTTGTTAGTTTGTTTGAAAATATATATTTCGAGGGAGGTTTCCAGGAAATTGTCTTTCGGCGAATCGTGCTCTGGCGAAACGTCGGAGATTCCCGAAAATTTTGCGTACACAAAAGATGTTAAAAAACCGTTTCGCCGCAAGGCGATTCGCCATGGCGAAATGTCAGTGCCGTTTCGCCAAGAATTTGTACGCTTTCGCCAATTGGCGAAACGGCACATGACACTTCGCCAACTGGCGAAACGGCACAAGACACTTTGCCAATTGACGAAACGGCATAAGACACTTCGCCAATTGGCGAAACGTCCCATGACTTTTCACCATGGCGAATTGTCTTTTGGCGAATCGTCTTTTGGCGAAACGACAGAGATTCCTGTGCACCATCGATTACTTATTTGGCTATTAAACATATATCTGAAGCAACCTGTAATTGCTAGAACATCGTTTCCAGTACAGTAGTGAAAAAATAATAAAGAACGATATCTCAACGTTGCTATATTGAGACTGAAATTACTCTGTTGGTCTACTGTGAGTGTTCCATGAGAAAGTACGTTTTCAGTTATTGAACACATACACTACGGTTATACTACGCAAATAATCACGATTATTTTTAATCGTGATATGTGTATTTCAAAATTTCAAGAGATATTTTTTTGTGGGAAAAAGTTAAAAATCTAAAACTAGAGAATTCTCTCTTGAATAAGCCTACTAGTAGTATAACCGCTACTTACTCACGATTAAAATCATGAGTAAAGATAATCATGCTCGGAAGATGATTATCTTTAATCACGATTAAGTTTAATCTTGAGTAATTTTAACCGTCTCTGTCGAAAAAAGGACCATGATGACGGCGCTTTCATTTTGCTCAGCTGCAATAACTAATCAGCTCAACGTTGTTTTGCCTAATTTTTCTGGCATTACTATACTCTTTTTTTTACAGATTAATAAATAATTAAGTAATAATAATTTTATAACAATAATATTTTTAATATAGCTTCAACAAAAACAACAACCTGATGAACCCATGGCGACGTATTTGATAATAAGGTTTCCTTGTATCGAGAAGTCGATACCGGTATGACTGAGAGGATTATTGTCCAACATCTTATGAACGGTGTTCGTTCTGAATTTCGGAAACAATATTCGCGCCATGATCCTCCGATTAATCAATCTGCAACGTTTTTAACCCTGGCAAAAAAGGAAGATATCTATGAACAATTCGAAAAATGTCAAGAAATAAAAATTCAACCACAACAGCCATACTTCTTCCTGAATTCGGAATCGACATCCTTAACAGTTGCCATTCATCAACGGCTATATCGACATCCAAATCACTTCAGTCGAGATTTACAACAATTGGGAATATGAAAATCTGTCGAAAGACAGCAATCATTTATTCCAGGTTCGCATCATAAACTATTGAAATCGTCAGAAATTCCACGCAAATCGACAACGAAACAACCAACGGTGGATCAGACTAAACAATCTTCATCATTGTTTCAATTTCCTCCGTGTAAAATTTGCGGAAAAAAGAACCGTCGTACCATTGATTGTTATCACGTCATTTCTTCATATCGTTTAGATTATTGTGTTTTATTCACTTTATTGTTTAGTATTATTCTCTTCGGAATAAACATAAAGAGATCAGTTTGCATTTATTTCAAGCGTTAGGTACCCTGATAGCATGTTTTAAGAGCGACTGTAGATAATTAACATTTAACGAACGTCAGTACGTTAATTATTTTATAAAGTAATAACATATTATATGTGAGCTTACCAACTTAATTTATTTGATATTATAGTGCCTAAAATTTTATTGTCAAAAACGAAATCTAGTTGTACGATACCACTAGAAACAGCAGCAGGCAGATTAGAGGATTTTCTTAAAAGTAGCATACAAAAGCATTTATCAATATTCAGAGGCAGTTACCTTTTCAATAACCACTTATATGCTTTTTCCAGATCATTGTTCATATCAACTATTAGTTTCGTCCAGTCCTGGTTGCAATGAGACATGGTTGTATCATTTGCAAACTTTCTAGCGATAGACTCCATATTTGAACCGAAATCGTTGATATACACTAAAAACAAAATAGAACCTAAAATAGACCGTTGATGGTAAACTTGATGGAAAATTTTCTATGTCAGTAACTTGTTGACACATGTCTCTTAGAACATCAGAAATAAATAAGCTCGATTCATGAAACATTCGCGCTGTAACAGCACCCGAAGAAGCTTCAGACTACTGTCTATAATATCAGTATCAATTCTACTGTACTAGATACTGATATTATTTATAAATTTTTCAATCTCATTTTGCGGTCTAGTGTCTCTTTTGATGAACGTAAAAATCCCGTGATAGAATATGGATAGATTGTCCTCTATTGGTGATGTACAAATTGACGCAAAAAGCCCATTCAGAAGCCCATA